CTCTCTCTCTCTCTCTCTCTGGAGTTTTCTCTCCCTCTCCCTCTGCTAGTCCATCTTGCTTCCTTCTTAAGTAGGGCCTCCTGTAGCCTTTACCCTGTCTCCTCTCTGTCCCCACGGTAATTCCCATGAAAATAGCCATCAAAGGGGACTATTTGCACTCACAGAGATCCAGTTACCGCCGGATAGGTTAGTAGCAAAGATTTATGACCCTGTAGAGGGGATGTGGCCTTTCTCCACCACCGCGCCAGTCGGAGACAAACACGGACCAGGCTGCGATCTTAAGGAACGAAGCAAAATCCCAGTCCCAGGCTGCGCAGTCCTTGCCGATGCCACACTTCGTACATGGCAGGGACGACGGGTAGGAAAGTGGGGCTGGGGCCACTCAAGTGAAAACCTAAAACCTACCGCACGAGTCCAACGCGGGTCATGCTGACGATTCGGAACTCGGAGCGCCATCACCCAAAGTATCTTTCCCGTATTAAAGACTTTAATGGGCATAAAAGAGTTTGCTTCCAGTGGATTTTTGTGGCTGAATCCATGCATATGTGCTGGGCCTAGTAAGAGTTGATAGGTATTTACATAGAAGTGCTGCCTTTATTTTGTTTTTGTGAACTATCTCAGGAAAAGCGAGCTAGTGAAAACTACAGGTGAGGGCTGCCAAATTTCACCTAAATGTTTTAACATATGCGTCAACGCGGTAAATGATGAAGACGAAAGACAAGTTGTGTTTGCTGAGCACCTACTCGATGCCAATCCCTGTGCTGAGCTCTTTGCACACACGAGTGCAGACGAGATTAAAGCTGCCTGATCTCGTAGCTCCTGCTGCCTGCTTCCATTATAACAACCCCAATTTATGGATTTCTGTAGAAGCAAGTAGTACTTGAGATTAGAGTTCTATCAGCTGCAGTTTGGAAACCTTTGTTAGACTTTTTTTTTTAATTTTAATGGTGATGTTTCATAAGCAAAATCTGAATTTTCTAAAATGAACGACACACACGACATCATCATCGTCTTTGCACAGGCCCGTGCCCCTGGTCCTAGACAGATCCCACGGTCGCAGGAAGTGGAGGTTCGTCCTCTCGGGTGTTGTTCCCAGGACTGGTGGATCAGAAAACACTCACCCAGAATTGTAGGGTCCCTAAGCTAGGAGCCTGCGTGAATCATCAGTTCAGTGCCAGGGAGCCCAAATCTGAAGCCCATGGAAAGCACGTGACCTGCCCAAGGTCACACAGTGTCCATGCACTGCACGAGCTGTGACCAGCACACACATCTCCTTCCCGACCAGTGCTCAGGCATTTCCCACTCCTTTTTCTTTCTCTTTAGCAAAATCTAGAATAACACCTCATGTTAGTTATAAAGGTGAAAAAACTTTGGTTCCTTTTCTTTGAGCTACGTTCTGTAACTAGGTCATAGACGTGAATTTAAGCCACTAACGCCTGTGTGCAGGAAATATCTCTCTTTATGACCTTGAAACCCACTTAATTGGGACTCAGTCGAATAATTATTATTTGCAGGAGATGGCCCTGCGAGGGGAGAGAGGGTGGGTGCAGGGAGCAGGGAAGGAAAGCCATTCAGGGAGGAAAAGAAGCCCCAAATAATATGTCAGCAAATCTGCCTACCACAATTAGACAGTGTCGTGATCATTCTGGAGAGGTCGACTGGTTTGCCATTAGCCAGGTCTCCGCAGCTCCTGGAGTCCTCAAGCCACGGTGCCATCTCCATAAAACGATCGCCATCGTGCTTCCTGCACTGGGCTGTCACACTGGCCGCGAGGAGTGTGGTGCGGCGTTTTCTGAACAGCTCTCAGAAGGGCGCCTGTCGATCAAAGCTGAAGTGCTCAGGACCTCAGGAACTTTGTACCCTAAGGAGAGGACCAGATGGCGTGCCCTGTGCAGGGGGCAGCAGACGTGGGCACAGGGACAAGAACAGGAGGGGAAAAGAGTCCTGTTCCCACGCTCCAGCGACGTCATGCTGGTGTGGCCGCCTGAGCTCCACTGTGGGCTTAGGACACCACCCTCTCATGTCCCGGGGAGAAAGATGAAGACTAAAAGGATGTCAAAGCTTAACTCTGCCCACCCTCTCCTGTCCTTCCGTCCCCCAAAGAGAGGATTTCACTTCGGTAGCCTCAAATGAATTTCACAACTATAAAACAAATAAAATTTCTAAGTTTCCTGTGAGTGACCAGAAGTCCATTGGATCCCCCTGCACCCTCTCAGTCCTGTCTGTGGGAGACCCGGCGAACCCGCCGCTCCCCACCACCCAGGGCTCAGAGCTGTGCACCCCAGAGACCCCTTTCTTGGCCAATGGTCAAGTCTCCTAGTGCATTAGCCCCAAAGGTGAGCACGAGGTCTCCGGCCACTCTCCCTCCTCCTCATCCTGCCCCTTCGCGCACGTGCACGCGCGCGCGCGCACGCGCACACACACCGCACCTTCCCTTCCCCGGACCGGAGCTGCAGCCTGGGCTCGCGCTGGGAGGGTGCAGAAGCTCGCACAGCAGCCCGGGCAGGAGCAGGGATGCTCCAGACCAGGGTGGGAGGCAGCATCCCTCCCTCCCAGCACCCGCATTGCCACCAGGGAGAGCTGATGTCACCATCTTCCTCCCAGCTGCGGTACAGCCTGAACACACACTGGCAACAGGCTTTCCTCCCTGGACACGGGGCCCTGTCCCACCTCGAGAAAGCGAGTCACTTCCTGGCACCGGTGGGCTCTCCCACTCCGGCTCACCGTCCCACTCTCTTCATTTCAGCATGTGGCATGAACGTACATCACAGGTGCCAGACGAAGGTGGCCAACCTTTGTGGCATAAACCAGAAGCTAATGGCTGAGGCGCTGGCGATGATCGAGAGCACCCAACAGGTAGGGAGCGCATGACGTGGGCACGTTCCCGCCTTCTCAGCTCAACGAGGATGCCGAGTCCTTTTGCTCTCTGCCCTGTGGCAGCCCTACAGGAAGCACAGAATGCATTTCTGAGCACCGGCCTTGCGGCTGACTTCCATGTTCAGGCCTGTGCCCCACCACACACTTTGAGATGCTTATTTATTTAATATATTTGTATTGTGTAGATCTTTACAAGATCTTACATTCTTTTTGGAATGATCAGGGCAGAAACAAATAAATTCATTAAAATTATTGAGGGGTCATTGCCAGCTTTATAGGGATTTATTAGTATTATAAATAGCCTAGGGGAAAAACACTTAATTACTAGAATCACCCTCCAAATCCCCCCAGAACACCGAGTCCAGGGCAACTTTTGCCTGGCCATTTATTACATTGGCATTGGTTGAATTCCCATATCCAAGAACAAACCCTCTTTAGGACATGGCATGGCCTACATGAGCTGTTTTTCCATGCATTGACTGTCTGTTGTTATTTGCCATGTGGGAAGCCTGGGAGAATCCAGTCGTGCCCTAGAAAAGTGTGAAGGAGGTGAGTGTGTTCTGCTGATGCATAAAATACAACCGATGGACTCTCCCAAAATATGGGATTCTGAAAGAATGTTGAGGGAAAGAGGAGCTTTGGTGATCCTATGCATTTAGGAAACTTAGATGGCTTTTGTCCCCAGGGACTGCAGGCTGAGCTGTCCCGTCAAGGTGGGTGGGTGGGTGGTCTGACTCTCTGTTTGTCACCCAGGCTCGCTGCTTAAGAGACACTGAACAGATCTTCAGAGAAGGTCCAGTTGAAATTGGTCTCCCATGCTCCATCAAAAGTGAAGCGAGGCCGCCATACTTACCCACACCTGGAAAGAAAGGTAGCTGTCCTGGCCCGTGGTTGAATCAATGTCAGCAATTAACCTTGATTAACCTTAACCTGGGTCCTCTGGATTTAAGTTCTCAATTTACCCCCTCTGACAGGTAAGGCTGTTCTGTTAAAGATTACAGATCTAGCCACCAGCTAAGAGACTCCTACTTCTTAGGAGAGAATTCAAACTATGCTTTATTGGGTACCTTTGTAAGGGGGTGGGAGGCAGGGCTTAGAAATGGGATCCGTCTGGAGGAAACAACTGCAGACATTTCCTTAGAACTGTTTTTAAAGCCTACAGCACCTAGTATTCCCAGGTGGTCTCCCATCCAAGCATGAACATGACCCTGTTAGAATTTTAGAATGTTGCATCCCATCAATGTTAAACTCTTCCATAGAAATGAATCTATCTTAAAGATGGTGGGAATACTACAGAGGACATTCTTGTTCTGCACCTTTAAGACTTTTTAAAGAAATTTAACAGTAGAAAAGAGGAGAATAGCAGGGCTCGAAGCCCTTGGCGCTCACGGCATCACAGAAGTTCATCCAGCCCGCTGTTTGAAGGTAGTTCATGAGAGGGTAGACCACGAGATTCTGGGACCTGGATGGCTTCAGCATACATTATAGAATGCGTATTTCCCTCGGACTGCAGGGAGAATATGAAGGATAACCCTAGGGATTAAAAAAATAAAAGTGATGTTAGAAACCAGGGGAGATTCCAAAAAAATGTTTTTCTACATCTCCTCAGGTGTCGAATGAAAACTAAATGGACTTAAAAATTTAAATGGGAGGTTCGAGTTAGATTTAGGAAGGGCCGGGTCTCCAGGCAGTGAAGTACACCATGTCTCGGAGATGATTAACGCAGGCGGCGTCTCGACTTGAGTTGTGATGAATGGTGCAGTTTGGATCTTTAACAATCCGCTAGATTTCATTTCCTCTTCCCTCACGTGGTAATTCACAGAAACGGATGCCCCTGTGCCCATGAGCCACGCACACAAGCGAGATTCGGTTCAAACCCCTGGCTGCCCATGGTTTGACATTATTAAACATGCAAGTGCATTTTGCATATATGGTCTCTTGCTGATTGGAATGCGTTTCTTTAACTGAACTATTTCCCAGACTGTGGATAAAAAGACACGGTCCACACCCCAGATGCCAGGCTCACAGGCACGTGGAGGGGTGTTAAAGCTGCCTGAAACCCAAGCCCCTCCAGGGTGGGAAGTGGAAGAGAAAGCGTGTGCTCTGAGTAACTAGAATGATGCTCCACGACTCCGTGCTCCTGTTTAACCACCAGCTTGCTATTTCCAGAGCCTCAGGGAATCTCCTGGGAGTCTCCGTCAGACGAGGTGGATAAAACGTGCCATCATCCGGAACCTGAACCGAACGTAGAAAGACCATCTCTCCATATGAAACTAAAAATCGAGGATTTTATCTTGCACAAGATGTTGGGGAAAGGAAGTTTCGGCAAGGTATGCTACAGCCTACGGAACACTGTGGACCAGGTTCCGGGAACTAAACGGCAAAAACCCTGGTCCGGGGAACTAACTTCGTGGGGCCCGAACCACACGTGGGTGTGTAGACAGAGGTTTCCCGGGAGATCTCTGAATAAACAGGGCCCCCGGGGGCTCTAGGGAAATAGCTGCCTCTGATTCCTGGGAATCTTTGTCCCCAAAGCCACTGTGCTTGGAAAGTGTATACCCCACACGCTTGTGAGTTTCATGTCTTTGGGCAGCGAAGAAACAGGAAGGTGCCTTGGCCACTTCCTGTCACACAGGTTTGTTTATTTGTTCCGTTGTTTTGCTTTTTTCTCTTTTGCTTTGTTCTCGAGGCTGGAGCATTGTTTCACTTTGTTAGGTGACTGTTTTCTCTTTCTATTAAATGCCTTCAGGCTTGTATTAGTTTGCTTGGGCTGCTATAACAAAATATCACAGCCCAGGTGGCCTGAACAGCAAAAATGCATTTTCTCACAGTTCTGGAGGCTGGAAGTCCAAAACCAAGGTTTCTCCCAAGGCCTCTGTCCTTGGCTTATGGGTGGATGTCTTCCCTCTGTGCACGTCCGTGTCTGAACTTTCTCTTCTTACAAAGACGCCCACCTTAATGACCTCATTGAACCTTAATTAACCTTAATTACCTTAATTACCTCTTTAAAGGTAACAGGTTATAATTGCACATAGAGACCTCCTTAATTACCTCTTTAGAGGTAATTAAGGTAATTACCATATTTGGTCACATTCTGAGGTGCTAGGATATCTCAGCCCAGACACAATTCAGCCCCTAAGGACAATGAGGCTGTAGCTTAAGAATCCTGGACACGATTTTGTGGAGGAAGCCCCTCCTCTAAATTCCTCCCACCACGCATGCAGGAGGTTGTCTCTGTCACTCACGGGGACAGGTGGAGGAGGAGGAGAAGGAAAGTGGGGAGGGCAGGGGGAGGAAAAAGGCATAATTTAAGGAATTATAATCAACTACCAGCGACAGCAGAAAATTTTCAAGCTAGTGATTATAAGGAGGGACAATATGAAATACAGGCTTTTAGATCATTTCTTCTATCAAGGCTACCTAATGTATTAATGGGGCTCCTCACTGTTTTATATTCTATAATTTTAACCAGAGACTACGGCTTCGTGAGTGCAGCATCCAAAGCCAGCATGACCCTGGGCACCTGCTCACCAGACAGGAAAAACTCACCCAGTTTATTTAATAATAAACAAACTAAAACGCAACTGAGCCTCCACCGCAGCCAAATAACACGGTGTTCCAGCTGGGGTTCGGATCTAGACACCAGTGCATTGCCTTGCAGCGAAGTCCGCTCTGCCCTGCAGACTGTGGCTGATTTCCACGAATTCTTCTAGCTCTAGCTGATTTCCACAATAATACGCACCACAGCAGGCTCATTGGGTATTAATCTGAGCATAACAGGCAATTTTACAGCCAGTCCTCATTATAATTTAGCATCAATTAATGTGCAATTATAACCTGTTACCAAAAATTGAAAGCACATTATATACATGGAAATCGCCTTTTCGGCTTCTTAGTTTATGGCTGGTTTTAGGATGTTTTACTGAAAGAGGCAATTACCAAAAGAGTACTTTTAATTGTTAATGAAATGTTTGTCTTTCTTTGTTCCCATGCAGATTTCTACATTTGAACAAGGTTAGTTAGAAAGACGTTATGTTATGTCGAACCTACAAGCCTTAGTAAATGTCCCAAAGGACAGCCGGAAGCTCCAGGTTTCCTGGCTCTGTGTCCAAAAGGGGTCTGCTCCTTTCCATCGGGACCCTGGGTCCCCACACTCTGGAGAGGAGGGGACGGCAAGGCACCAGAGACAGACGGGACAGAGGATTGCCCTGTCTCAAAACACCGAGAATACACTAGAACTCACCTTTCCTTTCTCTTTTGGCTCAGTTAGGAAAGCATCACTCTTTACCAAAATGCTGGTCTCTGTTCTCTCATTCTCAATCTACTTTTAAGCCCAGGAGAACAAATTGTGTGTTTTCTGAAGACGTGAACATCCTTCATTTGCCTGAATTCTCACCCAACCCGCCTCCCCTCTGTCAAGGCAGATAGCACAAAGCCACGGCTCTGCGTCGTATTTAAACCTGGACACTCGCATTCTCAGTACTGGTTTAGTACCATTGACTTCAGCATTTCCCGAAAGTCAATTAAAAAAAAAACGACAAATATTCTTAATAACTGTCATTTAGAGAGCATTTTATAGGCCCCCTTCCCGGGCGGTATCTCATTTGATTTTCGCAATCGTTCTGTAAGTTAGAGAACGCAGTCGTCATTAAGCCCTTGTAAAGGTTAGGGAACTGGAGCCCAGAGAGGGTGATTGGTTCGCCGACATCTTTGCAGTGGGCAGATGTGTGTGGGATAAAACCAGAGCTGGAGTTTTCTGTACCCAAACGCCACGTCCTTACAATGGCCAATAGCGCACTGCTGCGTCGTTCGCAAAAGCGCAAGTCGTTGAACCTCTCCATCACGTGCCATCTGATGTCCTTTGATATAAGATTTATGAAATCAAGAGGAAAAAGTAAACTTTGGGTTAAGATTTTTTTCCTGAGTAGCTCCATGAATTTCAGCAAGTTACTCTTTGAATCCAATTTTTTATTATTAATATCTGCCTTGCAGAGTGCGATGGGCTGAGGATTAAATCAGATAATAAAATTAGGTAGCACATGTGAAGTCCACAGCAGAATGCCCCAGGCCATATGGTAGGTCCTAAAAATGTCATTAGTTTCCATGGCATCAGATAAAATGGTGTTCATTTTTTAAGTACGCAGGGAGAACTATATCCCTCAAGTGTTCTTTTTGCCTTAAAAAACTGGGTAGAAGTTAAGGCTGAGTCTTGGGTGCATTTACAGTAATGTTTCGAGTACAAACAACTTCTCCTCTCCACTGCTCTTCTTCCTTCAGTTTGCACTCTGTCTCTCTGAATTTTTATAGCACACTTACTCAGGTCCCCAGGCGGGCAGGGCACACTTTTAAAATCCATCCAATTGCACGATAATTTTGTGAAACCCTTGGAAAGGTACAAAGCTAGTAGGATTCTCTTATGTAACATCCTAAGCCACTGACGTGTGCCATTTTGTTTCAGGATCATCCTGTCCAGGATGGAGGCGGGTGGAGGAGAAATCTTCCTTTCCCGCCCAGCACAGCTTTCTCTCAGGACTTTGTCTCTTTTTTAATGAGTGGGAATCCAACTTCCAAAATAAAGTCACTTCTTCCCGTTCCTTCTAGGTCTTCCTAGCAGAGTTCAAGAAAACCAATCAATTTTTCGCAATAAAAGCCCTAAAGAAAGATGTGGTCTTGATGGATGACGATGTTGAGTGCACGATGGTGGAGAAGAGAGTCCTCTCGCTGGCCTGGGAGCATCCGTTCCTGACGCACATGTTCTGCACGTTCCAGACCAAGGTATGGCTGCTGCTCAGACCACCCTCCTCCCTCTAACCCGTCCTGGTGGCGCCCTCGTTGGGAGACGCGAGGTGGTTTCCATATTTATCTTCTTACCTTCCAGTTGGTTGGGAAAGATCTTTGCTTCTGGGTCTGTTTGTTTTCTTGTTTTCCAGAATTTGGTTTAACTTAGCATAACAACCGGGCTTCCAAATGGGGGGAAAATGTGGCACCTGTTGGTTCATCCATCACGTGTGTATTTGAAGACGCAAAAGTTGAAAAATAGATGACAATGCATGTGCACTGTTGTTGTCCTATTTAAGGCTTGCAGAAAAAGCAGCCCTTAGCGTGGGCTTCATCCTGAGCGAGCCCCTGGCAGTGAGGTGCACGGTGGACGTGTTGCCTTCCCGCTCAGCGCTGGGCCCCCTACTCTTCGCGAACCTTGCCAGGAGCTTCACCACTCTGGCAGGAGGACCCTGGTCCTGGTCTCCTTTTCCGTTAAAAAAAAAAAAAAAAATAGAAAATTTATTCTTTTTTTTTTTCCTGACTCAATAGTAATTCAGGATCACTGTAGAAAATGCTCATAAGCTCCAAGAAGAAAATCACTTATAATCCCACCACTTGGATATACTCATCATTAATACTTTGAAGTTTCTCCTTCTAGATTTTTCTCCCAACTGGCTTTTAAAAATAAAAATAGCAACCCACTATTCTGCAACCTGTGTTATTTATACTCTGTGGTATACATTCCCTCAAATCTATGGCTATTCCATATGATTTGTCTGATTAGAACATTTCTAACTTTCTGCTCTGACTTAAACAGCACTGAAATGAACATCCTCGTAGGTCAGTCTCCCTGCAGGTGCGTGGCGACTCCTCTCTCCTCATTGGTCCACCCTCCTCCCCACTCTCCCCGCCGTCCACAGCCCGGAATAAAAAGCAGACCCATGTGGGGCCATATGACGAATGTCCACAGAGCACAGAGGGTGGGGTTTTCCTTTTTCTATCTCAAGTCATGACGACCACAGTATGAGTCACAGCGGCCCCTGAGGTCCCTTGAGCTGTGGAAAGAATTAATGAGACAACCCAGGGATCAGTCAGGAAAGTGGGTGACAAGCAGGGTGTCCGTCACCACCCCTGCAGCTCCCAGCAGCTTCTCAGCAAACATTTAATGAACAAATAAATAAATGAATGTGCTTGCCTAAAACAAAGAGAAAGCAGGCCCTGAGGAGGCACTTCTAGAGCACGCACTGCGTTAGAAGCTCCGTGGAGGGACAGAAATACAGAATGCGGTTCCCGACCCGCAGAATTCCAAACTCTAATAGAGGAGTCAAGACTGACACTTCTAACAGTGTCGTATGGAACTAGAATGCGGGCTTGAAGTGCCAGAGAGGAGAGAAACTAGAATTTAGAATTTGAATAGGTAGAAAGGACCTTGGGCAGTAGAGGTGTGAGCCTCCAGGAGAGGGGGCGGGAAGGAGAGACCAGGTCACAACAGGTGTTTAAGAGAAAGCAGAGGCCTGGGGCAGTGGCTCACGCCTGTAATCCTAGCACTCTGGGAGGCCCAGGCAGGAGGATCACTTGAGGTCAGGAGTTCGAAACCAGCCTGAGCAAGAGCAAGACCCCGTCTCTACTAAAAATGGAAAAAATTAGCCAGGCATGGTGGCACATGCCTGTAGTCCCAGCCACTTGGGAGGCTGAGGCAGGAAGATCACTTGAGCCCAGGAGTTTGAGGTTGCTGTGAGCTAGGCTGACACCATGGCACTCTAGCCCAGGCAGCAGAGCGAGACTCTGTCTCAAAAAAAAAAAAAAAAAGAAAGAAAGAAAGAAAAAGAAAGCAGGCTCATTCCTGCAGCAGGGAGCAGGATGGAACTTCTGTAATGAGGGCTGGAGAGATTTTCTACTAGAAACTTCTTCCTGGAGACAGTACATATCCCTTGGTCTGGGATGGTGAAGGTATGTCACCTACAGGCAAAGTGACAGACACCTTCTCCCAGGCCGTTGTCTGGATTGTCTAAGCACCCTCAGGGCTCCTTGTAACCTCACTCTTCCTCTTGCAATATCAGGAGGTTTGTAGCAAACTGCTAAATACACTTCCGGCCAGGCTTCCGGGGCACTCAGCAGCCGAGTTTCACTTGGCACCTTCCCCGCCCCGTCCTCCGCTATTTTTTAAGTATTTGCATAGATGACTGTGTTCCTGTCTTGTGGGGAAGGCTGTTAGGAACCCCCCTTTGCAGGAAGGAGGTAGGTCCCCTTCCCTTGCCTGTCCATCACAGTTTTAGGCCGTGTTTGTTTGCTTCCCTCTTGGGGGAGGTGTTTCCCCGCAGCCACGATCCTTTACCGAGACCCGAGAAGCGAACGCTCACACAGCATTCGCGCCGGAGGAAGGAGAACTGGCAGAGAACGTGCACACCAAACGTAAACAGGACCAGTTCAGCACTTAGGTCTCGAGCAACCGGGTCCTTTTAGAAAGAGATGAAGGAAAGGGAAAAAGCTTGCGTTTGCACTTTCCTTGGGAAAGTGTTCGGCTCTGACATAAATTATTGGCAGATCAGCATGATAAAGGGTGGTTGTTGTCTTAGCAAGAAGGAAAAATCGCTTTTTATTCTTTTCTTTCCTTTTTACTAACATTTCT